TACAAAATGTGGTGTGTGCCAGTTTGCCTACGGGACAGGGCAGAAATGTTGAAAGTATTTGGAGCTGTGGTGAGGATGGGTAAGAAATTGGTGGTTGCTTTGTACGAAATGTGGTGTATGCCGGTTTGCCTACGGGACAGGGCAGAAATAGCATTCATTATCGTTCCCAATGAATGCTATAGAAAGTAAAATGAAGTACCTTCGTATTCTTGGCTCTAGTAATGTGACATATCTTAAAATTTTCTTCTAAAACAGACACATATCTAAAATCTGTTAACTGGTTGCTATGAAGCGACAAACAACACTAAGAGATTTTTTGCTAGTGCACATTTCGCAATATCCAGTAGCGAGGTCTTTAACATTGTTTTTTGTGGCATACGAAGTAGTTACATCCTGGTGCAATGTTGTTGTCTTCTCATGTATTCAGAAAAAAGTCATGCCTTGAAAAAATTTCTACAACGGCACACATTTCCTTAAAACCAATTATAAACTGATTTTTAGTAGTGTAAATTCGTAATGAGCAAAACAAGATTAATCTTCCCAATATTCCGATGATAATGCAATTCATAGTTGAATATTGTGGCAAACGAGACTATCATAGAATTTTTTAACTAAAAGACAATTTTTGTAGTATCATATCCGCTTCTTCATCATCAATACATAGGTTATTCTTTTTTCTGCTGATAAACAGGGTGTCAAGATTTTCGAGTTTATTCACGCCCTGCTTGACCAAAAATTTTGAAATCTTTGTGAACTTGAGCGCATCAAACTCGGATATCGTATTGAAACTCAAAACGAATTCGATAAAACCTCCACATAATTTATCATTGCGAATCTCCTTCAAGGTTTTATTCCAGTGCCCCTGAAAAATTTCGTCTACAGCTTCGTTAAAGACAAGAATATTCCTTTTCAAATCATTCAGAAGGTGTTCTGAATTGGTTTGTTGAAAAGAGATGATCTCACTCTTCATAATGTTCAAAAACACCTCTTCCTTCAGTTCATTGACATCATAAAAATTTCTTTTGTACCTTTGAGTAAAATATATGACGTCTGAAAACGCCAAAATTTTTTCCTGTACGGTTTCAGATCTCCTGTCACTAAAGAAATCAACAATTGCTTGTTTCGTAAACTTTAAAACCTGTTCGTCCCCAATATTGATTACGCTCTCCATTATTGTGAGCACATCGAGAAAGTCCCTGAGATCTGCTGAGATAATGTTGCCCACATTCACCATTTCTGTTCTTTTACTTCTTTTAGAAATCTTAATTAGCTCAGTAACTAAAACCTTCTTTTTCAATTCGTCAATATTCGTTTTATAAAACGGTGTACCAGCAAAATACTCATTAAACTTTGCAAGTTCTTCGTTAAAATCGCTCATCTCTTTTTTGGCATTTCTTAGTAAATAATTGTACAATGTCCTGCTAAACTTAGACTTGATTCTAAATACGCCTTTACTTTCCGGTATGTTTTCTATATTTATGAGTTCCGCGTGTCTGTCTTTCATAGTGTTGTTCTTTAACCAAAAATAGAAGTATTTCGCATCCTCATGGATACTCAAATCACTGTATCGCTTGAATATTTTGAATTTAACCCGCAGTTCTCCCTCATCCTCATTTTCTGCACTGGCCATGGCATCTTTTTCGATTCTGTATATCATTTCGCTCTTTTCATTCATAAAGACTGAGAATTGCACATTTGATTGCGCATTGCGCAGCGTTCTGTCGATTTCTGCCAATCTGTCTTCATACTGCTTCAATTGACATAAAATGCTCGCTTCAACAGATTTCCTATCATTTCTAATTTCCTCTATTCTGTTTTTCACATCCTCGATGTCTTGGTTGATCACCACAATGTTTTTGCTCTTCACAAGCAGATCCTGGAGGTCCTTCAGCATGGGTTCTATTCCAAAGCAAATTTTGTGTACAATATGCCGTTATACCGGCGCATAGAAGTTGATAGAGAGAAAAATGATGAACTCAATAAATGATCGGATTACATTTTGGCCAACTCCATTCCTGAGGATAAGAAAAGAAGAATCACTAAAATACTTATTTCAGATGGAACTGCACATGTCTTTGCTCTGAAATCATTTGAAATGATGACAAAAATAAACTGCACGCTGTTATACGTGAGTGCTTTGTGATGATTATTTGTGGCCGATAATTTGTTATTAAAAGTGAATAATACTCATTTTGCAGGTCTAGCCATGCCGATCGTAGCACAAAATAAATGAAGAGCCAATTCTGCATGGTATGTTAAACAAATGTTTGCATACCGTAGAAATATATGAAAATTTTACAAAACCAAGAAAGTGCGATGTAAAATATGATTTGTGGGTAAATGATGGGAGACGTAAAAAACAATTGTGTATTGCATTAGAGATCGTGTATTGCATTAGAGATCGTGTATTGCCGCGATTTTCTTTAAATTGATAAAAATTGGATTTGTGAAGGTTTGCCTGAAACAAAGGACCAGCATAGGAAACACACTCTATGAATATTCGGAAGGGCCTGACAGATTTATGAATAATGATACAACGCGTTTACATGCTCGCGAGATATAATTTGGCTCCTAATCCGTGTGAGAGCGGTTTTACCCCTTAAACACCAGTCAAAGTCTCTAATATGAATTTTATCGAATGAATTATTAATAGTTCGTCATTTGTTAATAGGTCCAGAATATTTGGCCTAACGGTGTAGAATGTGATGCATCGCTTTAGATCATGTATTTATTTGGATGATTGCTTGAATACAAGGAGTAGAGATATCTCATTATTAACGATGTATGCTAGTCTTCTAGACCAAGCTCTTCGTTGTAGAATCAACACTGGTATGCACTTACAAGGTCGAATTAAACCAATTGCAATGTTATATACGAGCAGAACACTGTAATTGCCATAATCCTCAACTCTTTGGCTAATATATTTAGTGTATATGAATGAAGTTAGAAAATACATATGGCAGGTGTTCAGAATTGTAACAATCGACTTGTAGGTAAGTGTAGCCGTTCAATATTGGACAACATTTTCATATTTCAACATGATGTTCAGATCATGTATCATAATTATTTTTACGCTAACAGCGGAACAATAGCGCAGGAAAAATCAACATCTAATATCAAACCAATAAAGAAATATTTCACAGTCAAACTGCACAATATTATATTAAACTAAGCGGTGAATTCTATATTTGAAATCTTTGTTAAGTTATTGAGGAATACTTGGTAGTTTTGAAATAAAGGCTTGTTCCAAGTTGAATAAAGTATTTCTAATAAAACATGTTACGGGACAAACGATGAATTATTATGATTTGTACGTTTATGAGCTGCTTACAGTAACAAATACTTATCGCTTTGATATAAAATGCGAATACGCAAGCAACATCTTTTTTGTGCTTGTACTGTTATAAAGTAAAACCTGTAGCATCCATCTCATTTTTATTGGCCAAGCTTTATTGTTTTTAGGTAAATGATCATTATCTCCTTTACGAAATGCTTTACACAAGCCGTTTGTCAATTCAGAAACGAATAAAATCCCGCCCTTGCATTCATTATAACTATGTTTATCTCCTGGACACTAAAAAAGGAGGAGACCACTATTGAAGTGAATAAAAACATCTATTTGTGCAAATTGATAAGACAGCTATGAGGACATGAAAGCATTTGAACGAATTATCTTTTTCCATGTTACTGTCCAGAACGTGGCTGGAGCGAAAAAAGCTTCTAAAAATATTTTGTTCTGTATAAAGCTAAATGACCTGTGAATTACTAATCGCGTACAAAAACACCGAAGCAAAAAGTTGCCATATTCAGCCAAAAACAGGAGAAGAATCGTACAGAAATAGGAAAATACTCTGTTTGAACATTTCATTTCCGTATAGAGTAATAAAAGAGTATATTTTGATTCATAAGCTACTTTAAATTTAATTTTACTGACTTATCAGAAGATCTTTATTGACAAATTAATGACAGCAAGATCAAATTGCTCCTTTAATGAATAAGGAGTGGTTAGTTAATTCGTTAGTTATAAAAAAATATTTCATAAAACATCAGTGCTTGCAAAGAATATGCCGGAAAGCGAGAAGAAAGAAGAGACGAAAAAAGACGAGGTGAAGAACGAGGAACCACAAAAAGACGAGGCAAAGAACGAGGACCAGCCAACAAAGGAAGAGTCGAGTAAAAAGAGTTCTGTTGGCTCTAAAACATCAGTTAAAAATGCCGAACCTGTTGAAGAAAAACCGGAAGAAACTAAGAAAACGGAAATTCCCATTCCAAAAATGAAAAATGAAAAGATGCAGCAGAAGGGAGTTCTCATGCAAAATGATATTTTGACGATACAGGTCGACGACATGGTTGACTATATAAAGAACCGCAAAGATATGGAAAATCTCAAGGAAGGCGAAAGATTGGAGCCATTTATCATATTTTTAAATAGCAGATTCATAAGTACTGTTAAGCACAATATAAGAATGAAGCGAGCCAAAACCGGTATCGTTGTTGTTCTTTTGCTCATAGTAGTTAGTGTTATATGCTTTTTCTTGGGCAAAATCGTTTCTTCATGACTTAAAAAATAAATCAGATTTGAAAATTTATGAATTTTTAGCTCCTTCAACCATTTCCATAATACGCAAGTTTCAGGGTTCCCTGTATACAACGTGCAACGGTGCTTGTGTAATATTCATGGTAAAAATATCACCATCTTATTTTTACTCACTGCTGTAACACACTAAAATTATTTTCGCTGTTTAAGGAGACCCTGTTAATTAATGTTGACATGTGAGCGGAATTATTTTCGTGAAAACAATGATAGAAAGAATAAATATTCAATACAAAACCGTGTTTTATCTCATTTCACAAACAAAAATATATTTCAAATTTAGCTCAGAAAATAGAGCGCGCAATACACGCAAATGAAAAAGTAGTTTATCAAAAAACGCAAATACGTTCATTTAATTTATCAAATATGAGCAAACTCAATAGCTGCCGCATTTTCTTTATCGCCCGAAAAGTTTTCCGGTATTAACTTGCTATCTTTGAGCTGTTTTATTTCATAGAGAAAATATTTGTGCATGATATCTCCCTTGTTGTCCTCTTCTCTATTGGAAACTAAAACAATGTCGTTGATTTGTATCCACACTCTCTTATACATGCTGCCACGTACTTTACATACCCGGGTAGACGAATCCGTGCCTACCACCTCGAATCTGCCATTGCCGAGTGCACGAGTGACTTGACCATACTCACTTATACCTGGTTCTGCATATATCATCGTTCTTTGTGCGTTTATGTTTTTGCTCCTACCACCTTTCTTTCGCATTATGGGTCTTGAAAAATTTTGTATTTGGAGATTTTGTCACGAAATATCGCAAAACATGTGAAACAGAGTGTTTAACGGATAAGGCAAATTATTTGGCATGATAAACTTGAATATATGCCCATAGGTAAATTAATTCTTGGTATTATTTGTCCATCACATAGTGCCCGTGATTCTTCTTAACTCCTGTTTCCGAATAATGGGTAGAACGATCATTGTGATCTACTTCGTGTAAGAAAACAGTTACTGTTATCAACAGTTCGATTAGCTATCCTTAGTACGCAGATGGTCCATGGTTACTGACATTTATATTGCGATTCAACGGTGCTTCCGTTCGTTTAAATCATCATCTACCTCCTTATGCTCCATTATAAATATCACACATGGCCAATATTTATAATTAGTATGTACCGAGTGATAAAACGATATTTTCTAAACTGATTATATGGAAACAGTGAACATGACCGCAACCAATGAAATATTCGAATAGTTCAAATTCCTTTCTTGTTAAATAAAACAATATAAAAATAAAACTGACTATATTTTATGTCCTTACGGCTGATATATGATGTTTCTGCAGACGATGCCGAATTTAACAAAAGAATCAGGAATATAACGATATATAAAAATAATTACATGTAATGATAAAATAATGTGATATTTTGTAAAATGATAAATGTAGAATTGGTTGTGGTATATTGTTATAGATTGTTTGCCATGTATATGGTTAAATCGAATCGTATTTTGCGCTATACTTTGATTAAAAATAAGGTCTGATAGGTGACTGTTGCGAAACTGTGCACCATCTGTGATCAATTATGATACACTGCTGCTAACAAACCGAGCTTGAAAGAGATATTATGTTTGTATGTGATGATGAAGAGCTCTCATGATGTGATGCAAAAACATTTGAAGTACAACATATTTGTACATCATTTATGATTATTTGTATAAATTGAACCTTATATATTACTAAATACAGATGACCAAACTAAACTAGATAAATTACGGCATGCTAAATATTAGATTTAGATGCTGTGTCTTCGTACTTGCGTGTTGGAATGTTTTTGCTCTCTATCCACTAAAAACTACCAATCTATATTAAAAGTTTTCATCTAATAAAATAACAAGAATCATCTTTTTGCTCCAATTTATTGTCACAAACCTATATTTGGCCAGAATCAACATACCATTAATGGAAGGTAAACCGTATGTTTCCAAAATTAAAATAAAATAAGCAAAAATGTGTAAAAAGGTATTATAATTTAATCAAGAATTTATTACTCACACAAATTAAATCGATTTTGTTTGGTGTTACATATATTCCATATCAGGTATGCAACAAACGATAGATGTGACAAACGCTGTTAAAGCCCATACTGCGATATGACTTACTATCCTGATTACAGAGTGAGCGATTCTGCTAGAAATGAAGGATCAAGTTCTGAGGAACACAGAATCTGTCTTGTAAGGAGTGGAATATACCAGCGAAATCCGCCCCATCTGAACAAATCTGTTATCATAGAATATTTCTGCTACGGTTTCGAACGATTAAAGAAGCGGAGCTTCAAGCCTCAGAAAAGAAAAATGCGTAAAAGCAGACATAGAGCACAAAAAAATTATACATATAACGTTTATAGAAATAACAGGGTAATATTCAGAACAATGCCTTATCTCATGACCGACGATGAAGACCAAATATTGGAATGGGTTCACAAGTTCAAGCGAGCTGCTCAAGAGGCAAACTGGGACGAAGACACAAGAAAAGAACGCCTACTTGAGTTGACAAGTACTGTTTCTCAATCAACAATGAAAAGACAGTCCTGTTCCGACGATATGCTAAAAGCACTGGTAAGCAATATTTTTCCCTCATATAGACGCGGAGAGATTGTAAAGAAGTTACTAACAACCAAACAGAAAGACTTTTGTTACATTGAAGATTATATAGACGAAATTAAGCACTTGGCCTGTAAGTTGTGGATATCACGGGGTGGTGGACTTGAACCAGATGACAAGACAACCAATGAGTACTTCAAAATTGGGTTGGATGTTGATACATTAGTATATCTCGAAATGAATGGCCTTTATGGAATCAAAGAAATATCAAGAAATTTGGTAGATCTTGAAAGAATTATCATCGAAGAAATTCAAGGTGATTATTAAAAATTCCATCGGGTAATATTCGTAACATTGTTCTAGTACAATGAGTTAACTGTTGTTGAGTATCAATACCTGTTAAAGTTGAGTTTTAATCAAGGAACGATGTTTTATTATTTCTGCATCAAAATCAACCAAGCGAAATTTCATTTAGCAGGAACTTTTTCAATTTCCTAAATGTGCGTGGAGTAAGTCTACAATGAATCTCTGATAATGAGATAAACACTGATCAATTGCTTCTAATCAAGGCCATGGAGTACTTAGTGCATTAAAAAGGTAATAACGCGCCATATAATGATCGCTTGACCAAAATTGCATCAAAATAACACTTGTAGTATCAAATAGTGATTTGCGAACAGCATATCACGAGCAGATAGCAATATTTTTGATTCATAAAACGGTAAATATGTATTGATAATGTATGGATGACATAATTAATAACGTGATTGGGCACATTTATCATACTAATTACAAAGTATTTATTTTTATTATCAAAAATTTTATTAGTAGTAGTTTGTTAGGAACGGTATGTCACTTTTGTTGTGCGAGGATTACTACTGTATCTGCATATTATTACATAATCGTTATTTAATGGCATATATAAAGCGGTGTTCATATACATGCCATGCATGATTGTACGTATATAAATACCTCTCTGTACCCTAACAGAATTTTAATTAGATACACCCGTTTGCCTCTACCCTGCTTTGGCAATCAAATATTGTTTTAACTTCTCTCTTCCTTCTACCTATCTTTTTGTAACAAATATTCATTAAATAATCCGCTAATGTTATGATCCCTAAAAACCCAAAAATGCCCACAAAACAAACAATTAATATCCATTTGTCACTTATATCGATATCAGTTCTATCATTATTTTCGTTTATACGATAGTTACCCATGTTTGAATTATCATTTTCCGCATTACCTGTCAGGTTTGTCATGGCAGTTCTATTAATGTTTAAACCCATCTGATGTATTGAAAAAAGCAATTTAAATGTCTTAATATTACTGATTTGGTAAATTAATATTCTTTTAAAGAAAATTGCTGACAGAGAGGAGGCAAGCGTAAAATTGAAAAAAAGCAAAGCAGAGCTAACCATTTTGAACTTCATATTATGCTGTAAATTGCTTATTAAATGTTAATCACATCATGAGCTCAATGATAAGCATAAGGTCGTATATTTAGCTAAGAATTATTATTATTTAATAAAAATAAAAAGACAACTTGGAAGCTGATTGGTCAGTTATGGGAAAAAAGTTATTTCCCCCTTCGAGAAAAATAAAAAATGCTTGTTCCATGCATTTTTGCACTACATAAAGAGTCAAAAGTTGTTGTGCAGCTCATTCTTTCTGCCACGCTCTGAGCCACTATTTACAAACAACACAAAAATTATATGATTACCGAACAGAAAATAATCCTTCAACTCTTACTATAAGATTTTAAACAAGTAAAGAGACATAATACGACATATGAAAGGAAGAATGTATCATTTAATAGGTAATCATATTTTCTTTCGTTTTGTAAACGGAAATAGCGAATTTAGGTTTATCACATGTTTATTATTCACCATATGTGAACAAAAATTGCCAAATGCACAGGTCAGCTATCAATTAAACGAGCTATAACGAAACAGAAAGGGAACAACAGTTATTCACAATAGTACTTCAACAAAACAGCATAATATTAGTTGTTTTTAGAGGATGCTTCATCCAACGCTAATATGGGAAATGAGCAATTTTAGCAGTATCAAATATTATAATTTGCTTCTATTTGCACAATTATAACAGAGTAAAATTTATTTATCGTGTGGTATGCGACTATGTCAGCCATACAGTTGAACAACTTTCAGCATTATTGCAATTTTGTGACCAACTAAATTAGTAGTAACGGTGTTTTTTGTTTTGTGAGCGTTACTGCAAGCCAATATGAATGTTCTATCCATTATTTTAAAAATTTATTTCTTCGTCATTAAACCATAAACAATTATTTTGCTGCAATAACTATTTTTTTCTCATTCGCAGACATAGAACTACAATAATATGAGCTTTTATGTCCATCCCTTTCCTTACCTATTCTAGTATATTTATTACACAATAGTCTTCTCATGTTATTACCAATAAATAGCATTCTAAATCAGCATTAATCGCTTATTGCATGTTTAGAATGAGTATTTTATCAAATCTCTAATTCTTCTTATGCTCCTCTTTTACCATAGGTGCAATGAATGATATTTTTACAATCGTGAGAAGAGGAGAGAACGATCAAAGCAGTTTTACACGCTCTGTAACCTCAATATAATTTCTATACCAATGTATGGAACGAACAGTGTTACCAGCACATCGTTCCTCATTCATAGTCTAATGTGTTTACACAGCAGTACATCAAATGCAAATTTCGTAGCTCTTCAGTGATATGAGATGTTGATGCCGTGTACTAAAGAAATACGGTAAACGAAGTGAGAATATAATCTGAGATGATTGATAACTTGTAAAAAATGTGAGCATATGCACGTAACAATGAATGTAAGGAAATATTCTGTGCGAAAAAGAATAAGAAATCATACGAATAACGTTTTCAATTACTAGAATAAGTGTATAAAAGTACAACTAAAAATACTGCACACATACATTGAAAAATAATCAAAGCATAGAACAAACAGGTCCAAAAACTGCAGCTGCAGTATGTTTCTATAGATTTATCGTCAATAATATCTAAATCTGTTTCTTGTCAACAGGCTGATGATTCCATTTGCGATACTTGGCTGTCAATACATATTTCATGCGCTTCAATATTTACGTCATCTCGTGAACTGTTATTATATGGTAATGATGGCATTGTGTTACCATGGTTATACATCCTACACGGTAAATTTAGCTTTCGCACCATTTCATACACTTCAACATTTACGTCATCTTGTGAACTGTTATTATATGGTGATGGTGGCATTGTGTTACCATGGTTATACATCCTATACTGTAAATTTTGTTCTTGCACTCCGTATTGTGTGCCAGAGCCACTGTTAACGGATGGATTAGCATCATCTAATTTGTCTTCCGTATCAGTCACACATATTAGATTTGTATCACTTTGATTAATCGGTGATTGACCTGACTTCTCCTTTATTTCATCCACCTCTTCTACTTTAGATTCAGGAACATCCCCTGCCGATTGAGCTGACGTGCTTGCGCATGGTTGTTCAAATGCCTGCTCATCACTACCATTCAAAAATGGAACTGCAGAGCTGTTATCCAATATTTCATCATTTCCTTTTTTTACATTTCTGTTTTTATACCCGTTAACACATAATGAGCTCACAAAATATAAGGCAATAGATAGAAGATGAAATGCAGACATAAGGCTGCACTTATTTCTTCTTAAATACTTTTATATTGATAGCAATTCGTTTTCTTATCATTTTTTCTTTTTTTTCGTAATTTTGTTATTTTTCAAATACTTTTGATTCCAATCGTACATGTTCCATACGTATTAGACAATCCAATCTTTTTTCTACCAAATAAAAGAACAGTACATGCATAGTTACGCTAAAGTTATAAGGCAGATCATTTCGTTTGAATGGATTTATTTTTGTTCATAGGAACTGCTTGACTAAGACAATTGTAATAATGCGATGACAAAGACAACATGCGAGTTAAAAGGATAGACGAAGACACATTCTCATGCAATCACCAAATATGTGATTATTTTAGAGAACAGCGTACCAATACCTCTCATTGTACGTATCATGTTCACTAAAATCGTTTTAATACTCTGTAGGAATCAAAAGAGGCGCGTTACAAATTTTTAATTGAGAAACAACGAACACAGTGGTGGATGAATTACCAGCCAAGCTAATATGCATCTAAAATAAAAATTACTGTGAAAGGTTGATGTTGACTTTTTGATACCTAAATTTGTTCTTGAGTGACTTTTGATCTGTTTATCACATATATTGCTTTTTTACCAAAAAATGCATTCATTTATTCCTCATTTGCCAACATAACACACACTACAAAACAGAAATATGCACTTTTCGATCCGCTATAACTGGATGTGACCACTAGCTCGTGGTTCACTGTTCCTTCGCATCTTATTTTATTAAACTTGTTCCTTTAGATTTATAGCTGCTGTCTATCAGCCTATGTTGTACTATGATCCTATGCTGGAATTACATTGCTCAACCTTTTGAATTTACGGCTTTACAGGCAATTGTTCACTCCAGTTTCCTAAACCTAGAGCACATTAAATTTATAGCTGCAATTGTTTTTATCTCATTGCTAGTACCTGCCACCATGGATTAGCACACCTATCTATCTGCACGTACCCCGTGCTGTTCTGTAATGGCGTATAAATATCACATAATATCCTCAAACTCTTCACAACAACTTTAGCACACACCGCTTTATCATTTAAATAGTGGAAACGCACCATTTTATCTTGGTACTTGCTCTAAGTCAAAGCTTAAGATGTGCACTCCTCACTGTGTTACTAGACCTAACATCATCATCTCATATGAATCAGAATCTGATACCAAGAAGTAAGTACGTGCTAGTTTGCTTATTCAATTACCTAGGATTGCCGTTAATATTTTTAGCAAGCTGGCCCTCGTCTTGTTCATAGCATTTGCTTTTCTTCACCCCAGTAAATGCGAAGAGCTCTCGGCATCGGATCAGCGTATACGACCAGTTACATGGGTGTTCCATTGCTTGACAGCATTCTCAACATAAATCCTGGCTCGTCCATCTTGATAGAGCAAGACCCTGCCACAAACAACCATCACATTTTTGAGAAGCTGTTCGTTGCGCAGTCCGTCGTGGACAACAAAAGGATAACCGTTCGATCAGCACCGTTCTGCATACCAGCCGCCGTGAGCCGTGTCGAAGAGCAAAAGCACAGACCGATGGAAATCGCATGGCGGTACGCACAGCGCAACAGGCTGACAACGACAGAGTTTGATTTTCTGGAGAATTCCACAGACGCGCAGAATGTTAAATTTGGTGATGAGATTGTAATAACCGAGAGAACATGCATTGCCGGACTGTGCGCACCACACGAAGTGCTCGGCTGCAAGGAGCTCTTTGAAATTAAGAGGGAGGTTATTCGCAAGCATGCCGTGTTGTTAGCCACGTCCCCAACCTACATATGTGATGTTAATGTTGGCCTGTACTTTGACGTTGTGCTTGCTTTAGAATCGATGTATGCCAAGGAGAACGGCTACCACGGTCTGTTACGGATAAAAAAGTTTACACGTAGAGTGGACAATCTTTTGTACGGGTATAGGATTAGCAGGTACGGTGTGGTGATGGAAGAGTTCTCACTTGCACCCGATGACGAGCCAGTAAGATTGGGATGTGATGTTGTGTTTTAGGAGAAATACCATGCATGCTGTGTACGATCTCGCTATTTGTTGATACTGTGAGTGTCGAGCTTACACATATGTTCTAATCAATAGCATTATCGGTGCTCGGTCAAGGTATCAACCAATACTTCCCTTAATTAAATACATTTCTATAAACGAGGCACTTCACATGCATCAAATATTTTCGGCGGGTCACCGCTAACATTTGACACACCTTGTCATTACAGCAGCTCAGCGCACGACATGGCAGAGATAAATGAAAGTTTATTTAACATGCAATTTTGTACAATACCTGTGCATATATGAGAAGGTAAAGGCATCTTTCAGAAAGGGCGTATTATCGCTTTAAATGTCATACTCATCATGAAATGAATCTTTATCCATGTTAAACATGAATATTAGTGTGTTGATCACCAATACATGCTGTTATTAGTGGCTCTACTTACGTATTCGGACAGTTCTTGCTGCCATCCAGATTTTATAAGCGGATATAGCGCTAAAAGATGAGTTTTTTACAGCAATGTTGATCAGAGAGCAATTATCATTGTTATTTGGAGCAGATATGCCGTTCAATGTTATATGAGAGGGCAAATACTTCAGTAACTGCGGTTCTGGTGAGTTCTACACCTGCATCATATCACCACCACGCTTATGCATGCTTGGTTTTCTGGGCCGTATCACGGATTTAAAACAGTTCGTACGCTGTGCTCAGGAAACATTTCGGGCGATATGTCCTGATAAACCGCAACCGGCAATAAAATCATTTATTTAATACACACATAATAAAGGACCGATTGCATGGCTACGGCATCACCATTTCTGCATCAGTCGTGCAAGCGATAACCAATTATTTTGCTGGTTCCGTCTGATTTATAGACTCCTATCAACGAGTCCGCATTCTTAAAAAACTCTTTTTTCAGGCTAATACAAACGAATTGGTCGTTTTCAAAGAGATCTTCCCTCTCACCATCATTCCTGTTACTCAAATATTCGCTAAGACCTGCAATATGTGTTCTATCAAGTGCAGAATCTATTTCATCAAAGAAATAGAATGGTGCATTCAGATACTTATTGATGGCCAAAATGAAACATAAGAGAGCAACCGATTTCTCACCACCCGACAAATCTTCGTAGAACTTGTACTCATCCTTCAATACATAATACTTAATCTCCCCGAGGTATGGCTCACTCCTATTCGCGCACGTAAGCTGGGCTGATTGGTTGAAGAAACTGAAAATCTTGTGTAGAATGTCTGATATCTTGCCGTATCCATTGTTAAACAGCTCGAGTCTGCTCTTCTTTACTCCTCTCAGCTCCGCCCTCAGATCCACGGATTCTTTTTTCTTCTCCTCATACCGCTTCTGTAGTCTTTTTAACTCTCTCTCCTCGTTGCCATTTTCTACATTCCCAGAATTACATGTCGCGTAAATTTCATCTATTTTAGCATTCAAACTGCTCAATCTCTCCTCGCTCTCCTTTATGTTAACATTCATAGATACCTGCTCGTCTACATCTTCAAGAGATACAATTTCCTCGAGAATTCCGAATTGCAAAATTTCCTCCTTTTCATTTTCTAGTCTCTCGATCTCATCCTTTTTTACCAGCAAATCCTTATTCACGGCATTTATCTCGTTGATTACTCCATCGCTTGCACTTCTTTTGTTCTCAAAGATCGCCCTTGCCTCCTTTAACTCCCGATTAACCCGTTCAAAGTTACTTTTAATGTTCTTTTCGTTGTTCCTAATGTTTAATTTGGCAATCGCCTCCTCAATTTCGCGTTCCAATTCTTTTTGAACTCTAGAAAACTCGGCTATCAAGGCTTTTCTCTCGTTTTCCCTCGTCTTGATCTTTTCATAATTAACAAACGACTCGAGCTCCTCTATAGAAGAAAATCCGTTTAAAATACTGCTGAACTTCTTAGCCTTCTGTGCACTCAACCTTTTATCGATTTTCGAAAGCCTGGCATTTAGAAACGGGTTCTCATTTTTTATTGCATCATTTTCACTCTGCAGTTCGTTTATCGCTTTTACCAAAGTCGCCTGTTCAACGCCCAGAATCTTGATTTCTTCTTTTATCTCTTCGATCCTTTCAATAATGATGTTTAAATGTGCGTATGCACTTATCTTAGTACTGATTTCATTCAACTCTGTGATAATACTGTGATCCAGGGTAACAGTGACGGGTCCGCCTGTTATCAGTGCATTCTTGTGGAACAATGTACCGTCCAAAGTTACGTATTTGCGGTTCCTGTCCCTATCTAGGTCCGTGTCCAGAACAACATAGCATTCATTGAAGACATATTCAATAATAGTTTGTAACACAGAACTGTATGATATGCAGTCTATTGCCCTAACAAAACCGTCGATTACGCTTGTCTTGTTGCTTATCGGTCTCATATTATCGATTGGAAAAAAAGTTAATTTACACAACTTTTTACTTTCTAGGTATTTTATACATCTTAATGCTTCATCTTTCGTGTTTGTTACAATTACCTGTGAATTATGTCCTAAGAGAACCTCAATAGGCACGATATACCTGCTCTGACTAACATTCAGAAGGTCCTTCAGCTTTCCCCTTACGCCCGGAAACAGTGCTTTGAGTGTTTTAATGATCTGATCCTTGTTTTCTTCTATTTTGACAAAAGACTTGTACCGCAAAAACTGACCCAAAATTTCATTTATCTCTATTTCTCTATTCTTTAACCGCATTAAGTCATTTGATGTGTTCTCGTCCACCTTTTGTTTAAGTTCATCTATCCTTTTGCTCTTGCTTCTTATTAGTAATTTGTTCTTCTCAATTCTTTTCTCGCTCTTCTCGATTTCTTCCGTATTAGCACTAACCTTCTCCACCAATTTACGGACATCTCTCTCCTCTCTTATTAGTTCTCCATTCTCCTTGTTAAACTCGTACAGTAAAATGTTGTAATCCTCTCTAATTTGGTTTACTCTCTCTATAATTTCCGCGTTTTTGTCACTTTCTATTTCCATTTCTATTTTCCTTATTTCATCTTCGATTTTCGCTTTTTCTCTTTCTTTTTGTCTTTTGATTTCTTCTAAATTTCCATTGTCGAGATACAAAACGGATTTGTACTCATTTTTCGCATCTATGTACAGTAACTGCTGCTCTCTGATCGTACTTCTCAGCACATTTAGTTCCCTTTCGTTATTCCTTGCCTCCTCCTTGAGAATGTCCAATCGGTTTTGCAACGCAACCATGTCTTTTTCATTCTGTGATATAGCAGTTTCTCTTTCCTTGATCTTCGAAATGCAGATTTCCCTTGACAGTCTGTTTCTCTCTGCAAGGCATTCGTCAAGCATCCTTTTCTTTTCCCTGCCCATTTCAACCTCTTTCTTGTTTTGCAACCTTATCTTTATTTTCTTAAAAAATGTTTTGCACTCATTTGTACATTTCTTTATCTCCTCGCTCATTTTTTCATAAATTTCTCTGAACTGTGCTGATCCACTTACGTCTTCTAGCAATTTTGCTAGCTCTAAAGGTTTTACACTTACGATTCTTTCAATGTTATTTTGCAGTATGATGCATCTGCCAACATGCAATCCTGCCACACACTCCATATACTCCTTTCTTCCAACAAAAACATCGTTTACCTGGTAACTCTCCCTATTCTGCTGCTCCAGCGAAAGAATACACCTGTGCAGTCTAACATTTGTGCCATCACGTGTACCTATCTCCACAAAAACACTGGTATCACCGTGAAAATCAAGTTTAAGCTCCTCCAAAGAAGAAACTCTCATGTACTCCTCGGGATACATGAGCACAAAGCACAAAGCGTCCAATATATTGGACTTACCACATCCATTCAGTCCTATTATGCATGTAAATCGATCAAATAGTATTTTTGTGTCTCTATGCGATTTGAAATTCCTAATTTCCAGTTTTTTCAATCCCATTCTTCGTATGGGGTACGACAAAGTTTTTTAGCCAAGATTTGTGACATGTTCTAAAAAGTGGTCATCCGCGACATAGTTGACGAGCATGCATGAGGAAGTGTTCCATACATGTAAAACGCGTATGTTTGTGACCATTACTCGATTTTTATGTTTATACAACGAAGTAAGTACGATTGGACAAAAAACATGGTTAAATTTTATTTCATAAGGTAATGGTTTACAACTGCTTATTCTAAAATACACAGGAAAGTGTTGATTTTTATCCAAAATAGACGTATCGATGCGGTAAAGAATTGTTGTTTGTAAAACCAGAAAAAAATAATATTTTGCTCACATCATCAAGTTAGAAATTACGCTTACGCCCTTAAATTGATATGTTCTTTACGTATTGCGTTTTTTGGTGAGTAATTGATTGATACCTGTGTTGAAAAGTGCAGTATTTCATATTTCGATATAACAGTATGAGTAAGCCCGAAGAATGCCTAGAACAATTTAAAGGACTGTTCGGTAATGGCATTTTCTGGGCGGAGATGTTGTATTTCGAATTTATTGCAGCCCTTTAAAATGGGCGGCAGATTGAAAATTCCAAAGACACATATCTCAATACAAAAGGCGTGTGAAGAGCTGAAAGTTACCGAGGATCAGTTCAAAAAGCTAATAATACATCTTAACATACGTGCAGAGAATGTGCGGTCTATTTATAAGCTGTCATGCTCCGATGCAAACACATATTCACTAAAAGACGTTAACAGAATTTACAATTCAAGGTTGTATGCCACGATGCAAAAGAACAATCAGAGAGAAATGGAAAAGAAACTGTGGCAAGGAAGAAACAGGGATGATATAGCGGATAGAATGCACGATTTGGACTACGACTATGTTAACGTTATAAGCAACAAATATGCGAGTTTCTCAGATGCCGTGGGAGATCTGGGCGAAACGCTGACATTTTTGTATATCTATCAGTTTTTTAACAAGCAAATGAACGATGACGAAGGTTTATTTGGAACAGTCAACGCAGAATTGGCCAAATTTGAACGTTTTATAACCGAGAACATGTTGATAAAAAGCGTGTACCCCACAAAAAAAGGACTGCACCTGCTCTTACGCATCGGTGTAATAGAAATTTTGTTCTTTGTGCCGCTGAGTAGCAATTTTACAGATCTGAGACGCAAAGACCTTCTGCCATACATAAAGCTGTACATGTATCATTTAATGATGGTAAACTGCAAGATTAGGAACGTTAATATCGATGTGTTGACGAATACGTCAAGCAAAGATGTCATTGGCAAAGAAAATGGAAATGCTGATAAGACTGTGAACAAGGATCGCATGGGTGAAGACGTAAAACGATGTACAAAGGCGAATAAGATCTTCCAGAATTTGAAGATTTGCATCGGTGGAATGGTTCTGGCACATTGGTTAAAGATGTTGTGCCTGTCGGCTGGTGGCGAAATAACGGATGAGTGCGATTATTTTGTCACTGAGGGAAAAATAGATCAGCTGAACGGTGCTGTGTCATACGTTCATCCATCTTTCATAGTCAATTCTTACAATCAGGGATCGTTAGTGGATAAGGAGGAATATCTCATAGGAAAAGGATCGGTAGAGTACCTTTACCCGTTCGAGTCTCATAATAAAAAGTACGACAAGGACTTTATCGACACTCTTTCCAAGACCAAGCGCAAGAATGTTAGCGAATATCTTGAGAACATACGAAAAAGCACATACTTTTCTTAGATGCACCGGTACGGTAGGATAGAATAGTTGGAAGATCGCACTGATAGGCCATGTTCTTCAGAATAAACTTTTAACTTTTGCGATCTTCTTTTTCTTCCATTCAATCTTCTCATTTTTCATCTTTCTTAACAGCACCTTTCCCTCCCATAGCTTCGCCCTGTTGATCATATTGTTCATGTCAAGATGCACAGCTTTGATTCGCTCGAAATGAGAGCGCTCCCCTGTCCTCAACAGATTTTTAAAAGATGATAGTGATTCGTTTATTAGCTCTTTTATTTTTGTTATATCCAAGTCTTCATATTCCTCTTCAGGTTGTGGCACGTTGTCAACCACCGTGAATTTAATACCGAACAGCACAAATTCTGTGGGCAACCCTGGCCGAGTAAGATCCTTGTAGTCTGGTAATACGGGCCAGCCTTGTCGGTCATCCATGGAAGGGTAAATATTACACGTTTATTTGTGTCCATTCTACTTATCTAAAACATTCACATGGTGAACAAATGTGCATTTACATGTACGTGGTATTCACACGAAATATAAAATATGGTGGTGTAATGCCGAGAAGAATGATTCATTCCCAATATCTGTCAAAAAAAATGAGTTGGCCTATATTTTGCTGACTTTCTGTTTATTCGTGGTTTATTTGTGCGATATTACCAAATTTTAGCATTGATGTGTACATTTAACCAATATTTTAATTTAAGCTCATCTCCCTAACACGGATATAATTCAACCGTCGACAAGAAAGAGCTAGAAAGGCAATATCTACATTTTCGTGGAATATGCCATCAAATGTGTGCCACGCCATGTTTTTGTAATGTTAAACTCTGCCAATACACAGCACAACCATGAAATGAACATATCTATTCCAAGTTTTTTAGGCTTTGATTTTGCAAGTTATGTCATACGTTGGTAGTATAGTATGAAATTATCTTTAGATGTTGTATCAGAATTCATAATAGTACCTATTCCGTACGATCTGTGGTACAAATTATTCATTTGCGGTCTTCAGTTATTATGTAATATCACACGGATGACATTCTGACGGTTGTTCCAAAATAATGGCTGATTAAACATATCAGCTATCATGTAACACAAAATATTTGGCATTAGAACTTCGCACACAACTCGAACACGTGTTGTTTGCACGATATTCATCAACAAACACGCTTAAATGTGCGTTATCAATAGTTTAAGAAGATACATCAAATCCAATAAATATTCTTATAAACAATCAGCTACCTGAATTAAGACTTTGTGAACATGATGTTCTCCAGGATGTTCTTTTGTTTTAATCTTCATCGGGGCCTTTCATAAAAATTTGTCTGCCCCTTGACATGTCAAAGCAGAGAATAACCGAAAAAATAAAGGACAAGTTTAAAATTGCGTCTGAGGCGCAGAGAGAGAACAGACTGAACTCTCTCTTGCAAACACAAGAGCGTGGTTACATAGTACTAGAGGATGGTGAGCAATATCCAACACAAAGACAGATAAAAAAAAATGTTGCCTGCTCGGTGAAAGAAAAAGCGTTTTCTCTTGATCTTGACGAGGATGATTGGAAATCCTCGTATTCTTTGGATGGCAGACACATTATTCTGCATAGTAAGTCAGTGGTGGCAGCGTTTGACTGCAAGACACTCAACGTGTTCTTCGAGAGAACGCTAAGAAACGTTGAAACGAGCATATTTCTGCACAACGAGCAGTATTGTGCTATTGCGAGTGATACCTTGTTTATATACAATAAGAACGGACAAGAAGTGCATCATCTGTCACATGAAAGAAATGTGAGGCGGATGGCTTATCTACCATACCATTTTCTGCTCGTTACTCTTTCTGACCAGCCTTTTCTCCGGTATTTGGACACCTCGATGGGGAAAGAGGTGGCCAAGCTATACGTTAAAGAGCCTTCATGTTGTGCGCTATCGCGAAGAGATGATGGAATAGTATTGGTCGGTGGCACCAGAGGAGTTGTGAGATTGTTTTCTCCCAATTCTAAAGAACCACTTTGCTCGTTGCTCGTAAATTCTTCAAAGATCTCCTCAATCGCAGTGAGAAAAAACAATTTTGTGTGTTCAAGTCTGCAAGGCACTAACTTCTATGACTTCAGAAACCTCAAGGAACCGATTTATAAGCTTCCAAAATCTGAGAATGTATCACTCAGCAATGTCCTGGCAATGTCGTACAAGAACAAAATTACCACGTTTATGAATGGTTCTGAGTACATAAAAGAAACGTATCGAGGTGTCAACAGCATAGAATTTGCGCCTTACGAGGATATTCTCGCGGTTGGCACGAGGAACGGTTTGTCTCACATGATAGTGCCTGGTGCGGGAGATCCGAATATAGATTTCTATGAGGATTCGCCGTTCCTGACAAAAAAGCAGAGGAGAGAACGAGAAGTCAAGAAATTGATGGAAAAAATACCGAGCTCGTTCATAGGCAGCAAGTTTATTATCGAGGATGCTGTAGAAGAGGAAGAAGAGAGGAAGGAAGAGGAGCCAAAAAAGAGAACCGCTTTGTCTCGGTTCTATTAGATGCAAAAACAGGAAAGTTATAGAATTATTCTCCATTAAAATTGTTACTTACGGGGATTTATTTAATGTCGGTGTGAAGAGTTGCTCGTTTTGTACGAGAGGATGAATATCTTTTCAATGAAAAGATACGAGGAAGTAGCAGCACCAGCAAAATACCTTTATAGAGCGCTTCTGTACTATGCATATTCTTCCGATACACAGCTTAAAGTTTTCGTATCGCAGCTTTTTACATTCGATTTAGACTTTCTTCTTAACTTTCGATGAGTGGGTGGGCGTATCATCTACCTACCACTAGGAAATACGGTTTCTTCTAATCAGAATGTTGCATTTTCTGATATCTTGCCATGTATTAATAAAGCTTTGATACAATCAATACTTTCTATTTTTGGTTTAGCATTTGTTAAATAAACCGTTTTTGCCAGGATTACTGTCATTTCGTACCAAGAACTGGTAAGAGCCTTCCTCTGAAGTATATTCGTTTGTTTTAAACCAATTCTATTCAACATAATCTCGCACGCCCATTCCGTTAGATACGCTTCTTAGGGACCTGCTCCGGTAATAGCTCTTAGCTATTTACATCGCTGGATCATTTCATACAACTCTGTTACTTGGATTATAGGACACTCTATGAGGCTCTTTTGAGAAAGCATCGGTATCGATAACTACTATTGAATCTTATTCTGGATCTTGTCAACGGATACAGGCACATATTTACACCGTTTTTAACATCCGCCACAATAAGTTAGTGCTTATCATTCCTTCAAAAACCGCATAGCTCTACTAAACATAAATAAACCGTGTAATTCTCATCAAATTTACCTTAACCAAACTCTCCTATCTGCATACATCTAAACTAACGATAGAGCGTTGAGAGCCGCTTATAGTTCATCTGTCTTTACACATTGTTGTCTGTGCCATTCCGCCACTAAGTTCGCATCGATCAAATTTCCTTGTTATACAGAAAGATCGAATCCAGGATTCCAAGATGATGCGTGTAAGTTCGTTCACTTGGTCATTTAGATTTTGGAAATGCCCAACGAGTCACGTCGAGAACAAAGGCACAAACTGTGAGAATGTATGCTTCGAGCATATTAACCCACTGTAAAAATGAAATGATACTCCATGAATTGCTAGAATAGAATCACACATATAATACACAGGGCTCTAACCATTTTTGAATTGATCACGTAAATTTGGTAATATGCTGGCGATTTTAGCTACATGAGTACCATATTGGCGTGTTTAAACTGTAATATTAGTAGCGAAATTCTTTTCACATGCTCATTATTCCTTATTTTGTTGGAAAAAGCACTTTCGTACACAAATCGTTTCTTTTTATTTTGTACCATCAATTTTGTTACCCATGGACCCTCTGTCCCTACCATCAATCTACTACAACTCTAAGCTGTACCTATCAGCACTAACACTATCTGATTTTATAATACATACACATAAGAACGGGAACCTTGATCTGTGCCCGTATAAGCTCATCACATGTTTGTCTCTCTCCGAACTGAATTACCACCATAGAACACTGAAGTTCATCGAGGAGAACGAAGAAATCCTAAACTATCACGTAATACGAACAATGTATCTCAAGCTGGGAAATATTCTTGATTCGAAGAAACTCAATTTGGCACTCCTTAGAGATAAAAAGAACGAGGACTTCGCATTAGTGGATGGTAAACTTGACAAAAGGAGCATTGAGTGTTACTTCGAAGCGATGGTGAAGAAGCACACGGAAAGAAAAGACCTGCTAGTTGAAGCTATCAATTCTGACAACCGTAACCTTGAAGCACTAATGGCCCTTAAAAGGGAAGATTTGGTGAGTTCGGAAGAGTTTGATGAATTAATAACCGCTGGACCGGAGTGGCTGAGCAAGCTGTACGCATATGTCGTACATTACAAGGAAGAAGTTATATTTTCTCCGTTTTTCATGGAAACATACGCGTATGACCATTATAAACGGGGAATAACCGGTCTGCTTTTCAACTTTGGCGTGGAAATGATCGAGGACTTTCCCAAGTGCTCTGTTTCATATCTTGTCCTCGGCTACCATCATCTATCCAGGAAAAGGCACGGCGAGGCAAAAAAATGTTTTTATGAAGCGATAAAGTATGACAAACAGATTGGCAATCTATGGCTCTTCTTGGGCTTGGCATATTCAGGCCTCAAAGAATGCGAAAATGCTATTTCATGTTATACTCAGGCCAAGCAGCTGATGATAGGCTCATACAAACCAGATTTTTATCTTGCCTACGAGTACCACAAAATGTACAACATCGAACAGGCAAATCTATTTTATCTGAAGGCACTGAAAATAAAGGCTGAGCCGATTGTTATTGTGAGATACGCCACTCTCTTAATTTACTATGAATATTACGTGGATGCTCTGAAAATACTCGCTAGAATAGGCGATGCCAACGAGTTTCAAAATGTTTATAACCTGCTTGTTGCATACGCATTCCTCTTCACAGGGGATTTGGATAGATCTGAGCTGTTCCTCGACAAGTGTAAAAAAGATTGGCGATATTTGGCTACTAAAGGGTTTATTAAGCACTTGCGGTCGGAAATAGATGCGGCAGCCGATATATACACTGATGCATTGATAAAGCATGGCAGATCATGGGTGATTGAAGATCTATTAAGGCTTACGGTTGAAATTAAAGATGCAAAAAAAGACAATCTGGCGTACGAGTACGCCAATGATTTGTTTGACTCCATGGATTTGAAATCGTTAGATTTTAAACCTGTTTAAGTAAAACGTGTTAGGCAGAAAGATGATCAAATTTAACAGAAAAGCTGTTTACATGCTCTCAAAGCAGTTATGGCAGTTTTCTTTCTCCTTTAAAGCCAAAAAAATATCTAAACAGCCCAAATTTGAACCTGATTCGCTTATTACATTAGTTACTTGTTGTTCGCGTGTTCTGTTGTTGTATATTTCTTTTGGAGACGCGATCGGTACGACAGCGTAGTAATGTTCTAGTTCGCAGTTGTACGGCTGCAAACCGGGCGCAATCGCTGCTGATACTACCATAATAAATACTTTTACGAGCATAGAGCTATTACCTATTAGTTAAAGTGCTCGAAGAAATATGCGAAATAACACCAACGCATAATATTAAGAGCAGCTTAGATGATTTGTACAGGTTAAATTTACATTCTGATCATCTGCTTCGATAGATTGAAAACTATGCTGCGCAAATTAACCAACTCATATGCTTACAGAGTAATAAACACTTATCCTTAGATTCACTAGCTATTAATTCGGATTGTACTACTAAGCTGTTTTGATTAGAAGAAATACTCCGCTACTCATTGCATGTAAAACAAAAGATAGAATTTAACGTGTACAAAAACGTTTCGCTGTCATTATGAAGAGTATCGCACAGAATTATGTGTTTTGTCTACAAGAGCAGGTGCCTCTATGCGGTCTCGAGTAGAAATGTATGCAATGCACGGTTACTGCTGTTCCATTAGGCGCATTTGACAGCTGCTATCAATTTTATCCTGACGATGGTTTACTAGACAGTCCAATAGTCTGTGTTTGGTCTATACCGTTCAGTAATAGCAAATAGAACTCTGTAGCTCCGCGTTGCAGTGCAAGCTAAATAGAGAACGGTTGAATTGCGTGTTATGCAGTGAAAGATAGAGCAAACAATTATAAATAAGATGGAATGTAAAAGGCAGTGATGAACGGATGGAATTGAAAGAAAGACTTGGAACCTGTGAAATATTAAGGGACAGGAATACCCGAGGTAGAAGTAGTTCATAGTACCAAAAAAGGGGTATCGGCATGTTGTCAGCATGCGATTGTACTCTTTCTCGCGCTTGTGATATCATTCCTGTATCCACAACTCATGTTACAGTACATTATAGATTTTGGCCATAATGGCATTTGCATAAATCAAAGACAATGTGGCTACAATATAGGTCCTCAGCGGGACAGGAAAGAGATGTGCGCTGTTTACCAATATTAAGGTGGAGGGAAGGTGCTCTAAATGATATGTTAACGATAAGCAGAAGCTGTAGTTAACTGTTTTAGATGAACCTGTTTTATTGCAATATTTGTTTTTGTTTCGATGTCTAAAAGATTGCCGATCATGTTATGGTCTAGCATCTCATTTTTCTTTTCTACGATTTATAACGACTATGACGAAGAAGTAACGAAGTATCAATGTTAGTACCATTTATTGTATAATTGTTTGACAATTTTTTGGTGGTATATTGTTTTATTTATTTGGCGAAAGTTCATGTCAAAGTCAAAAGTATTCAAAAAA